ACGGTGACAGACATTGAAAAAGCTATTTAAATTTTCAGCTTGACAGTTTTTGTCTCTACACAGAATACAGATGAGGAAAACCTAACTGAGAAGCTGTGTAAAAATTGTATTGTCAATATGCATATAACAGGACCAAAAGATGACTCACTAGAAAACTGTTTCCTTCTACATATTTAGTTTTCATGCAGAGGGACAAATTGTGCACTTCTGGGAAAAACTGTGATATTATCAGGTTAAAAAAATATTGTCCCACTGCCCTCTTTGTAAGAAGAGGGATTTTTTTTTTTTCCTTCTGAAGATTTTCTCCCAAGAAAAACCACATTTTCATAGCACAGAAATGTTCTTGGATACAACTAAGTGAAAGAAGGACGTCACTCTATGGTAAGGGTCAGCCATTGTTCTTTTTCTGGCTTTTATTAGGCTATTTACTGTGCAGTAAGAGCTTACAAGCAGCAGTAAGGCCAAGGGGCAGGTAACAAAAATATTCTTCAAGGTTATCAATTTTTTAGCATATAATGTGTGTTTAACAATGTCTGATGCATCTCAGAACCAGCTGCACTGATGAAATATACGTACCTCAACATAAGAAGAGTTCCCAGGTCACTCCCAAATTGCTACACCTAACATTTGCAAGTAAGGTTGCTGCTTTCTGTGGTATTTGAAGGATAATACTCTTGGCCATTTGAAAATTTCAACAGCATTTAAGATTTGTTTGAATAATCTTTTTGGAGTTTAAGCGAAAGTGAATATTAGTAATTTAATAACATACCCGGTCATCATAAGAGCACCAGCTCTGTTCTCAATTCTCATGCAGCCCATGGTTCTAAAAGACAACTCACAACTACTCTGCAGAGCTGCCAAAGGAAAAAGCAAAAGGTATTGGATAGACACAAGTCAACAGGATTCCTTCTGACCCCTTGTCACTTACTGGGCTCAAACTAGCATGTCCTATTAACAAAAACAAAACAAACAAACAAAAAAACCCAAAACAACAAAAAACTGACCCAGCAGGTCTGAGTATTACAAATTGTTCACACGGGTGTTTAAAGACATTTTTGTAATTCAGATGAGATACTGAAGAGAGGTTTGATGCAAGGTGGTACATCCAGGGCCCAGGCAGCCCATCTCCATCTCAGCCCTGGTTTACTTCTAGCAGAGTAGCTCACTCTGGCCAAGATCAAGTTCTGGCCTCCTCTTCATCCAGCTGCAGGCCTTAAGATTTCACACCACCTGTGAGAATAACATACACTAAACATATGATTAAAGCATTTTCCTGCCTTAGTTTCAGATGTCAGTGCTGCTTTTTATAATCTTTCCCCTCCACTCCTCCTGCATTGAATTGTGACATATTTAAATTAGTTTTGGAGTTGCTGCATATCTTGCAAGCTTACTCAAATTTATTTCCCATTTACATTTCAGACAGAGACCAAAGTTTAGAGAAAATCATGTAAGCAGATGTACCATGAAAAGCAAAAGAAGCCTCAAACACAAAACTTCAAAATCATCTTATAAAGGTTTCAAAGACTCAGTTATTTTAATTACAGGAAAATTCAATTCCACTTATTCTTGGATGCAACATGAGAGAACACAAATGTTAGGAAATTTGAGGGAAACATTCACAAAGATAGGATTTATTACTCTTATATGGAGGAAGGTAACTATCTACTCACTTCAGAAAGGAGTTAGTCATCTGGTCCATGGCAGCTAATCTCCAGTCATCTCTAAATCTTTGTGTCACCAGACAGAAACAAGGAATCTTCTGGTACACAGTTCTCTTCGTAGTACCAAGCTCTACCCACACTGTCACCACACAGCCCTGAGGCCTTCAATCTGCCACCTTGCATCTGCCTACCCTTCCCATGCCAGATTTTGGGAGAATGAGGTCGAGCAAGTTAAGTGAGCTAATGCAAACAGATTAATAGTAAAAACAGTGCTCAGTAGCAAAAGCTAAAGCCAATTATAAATTACTGGACAAAAAACATGCAGAAGAAAGTTTTCTTTACTATTTCTTTACTTTAAAACCTTAAATACCTTCTTCCATCTCCAACATATTTTTCTAACTAAATGGCAGAGAACTCCAGGTATCACATAGCGCAGAAACAGACCACACAATGAAGAATTAAACTATGCACAGAATAACACTAGCAAAGCAACAGAAAGGAGATTACAAGACTGCAACATTTAGATTTTTCAGGACAACCCCTGTAAGCAACTTTGTTTCACAGTATGAATAGTTTGGTCATTTCTCGCTCCCAAAAATTAGGAGGGGCTGCTATCTGTAGCATTCATTGTCTTTACTCATACAACTCACCTGCAGTACTGTGCACAGTTCTGGGCTCCCCAGCTCAAGAAGGACAAAGAACTACTGGAGAAAGTCCAGCCAAGGGCCACTAAGATCAAGGGAGTGGAGTATCTGCCCTATGAAGAAAGGCTGAGAGAGCCAGGTCTGTTTTGCTTTGAGGAGGCTGAAGAGGGATCTCATCAATGTTTAAAGTGCAGGTTTCAGGAGGACGAGGCCAGACTCTTCTCAGTGGTGTCCAGTGACAGAACAAGGGGCAATGGGCACAAACTGGTACAAAGGAGGTTTGACCTAAATATAAGAAAATACTTCTTTACTCTGAGGCTAACAGAGCACCAGAACAAGCTGCCCAGGGAGGTTGTGGAGTCTCCATCTCTGGATACATTCCAAACCCACCTGGACATGTTCTTGTGTAATCTGATCCAGGGGATCCTGCTCTAGCAGAGGAGTTGGACTAGATGGATCTCAAGAGGTCCCTTCCAACCCCTACCATTCTGTGATTCTGTAACTCAAATCCAAATCCCCTTATCAAGCAGTGCTTCAGTGTTCCCTTCAGACAAGGAAACACAAGCTTCCGGTTTTGAAGACGCAAGTCAGACCACACCTGGAGTTTTGGTCCCCACTCTACAAAAAGGAGGCAGACAGGCTGGAGAGGGTCCCAGAGAAGGGCCACAAGGATGATCAGAGAACTGGAGGACCTGACATATGCAGAGAAGCTGAGAAAACAGGGTTTGCTCAGCCTTGAGAAAAGAAGGCTTACAGACTTCATTACCATGTTCCAGTACTTAAAGAGTGGCTACAAAGATGGAGATTCCCTATTTACAAGGAGTTACATGGAGAAGACAAGGGGTAATGGGCACAAGTTGCTCCTGGGGAGATTCTGATTTGATACAGAGGTAAATTTTTCACTATGAGGACAGTCAAAGACTGGAACAGCCTCCCAAGGGAAGTGGTGGATTCCCCCACATTGGACAGTTTTAAGTCTCAGCTTAACCAGGTGCTGAGCCACCTCATATAAACTACAATGTACCTCGAAAGGTTGGACCAGATGATCTCCTTGAGGTCCTTTCCAACGTGGCATTCTATGATTCCTTTGCCATTATTCCTTGTCATGGTTCTTGTGCCCAACATTACAGCTGTAACCACAGGACCAATCTCGTACAGCATCTCCCAGATAAATCTTAGGATATGCTTACATCAGCAAAAAGTGTGACATGAGAACCTGACATGCAGAGGAAGACATTAAAGGCTAAGAATCCAGCTTCCACTCTGCATGCATTTCAAAGGGCCATATTTCAAGCAAAACCTTACCTGGTCCAGTGGGCTGAATGCTTGCCAAGTAGCCAGGACACACAGGATGTACACCCTGCAGTTTAGCTTTATCTGAGAAAAACCCCATTCGTGCACTGACACCATCACATAATGCAAATTGTAGTGTGAAAAGCAGGGAAGACTCAGATAATTATTTCAAGAGCATTCAACTGACCCAAAATAAAAATGGCAGTGTAGGAGCACCCTTGCTCTCTCAACAACCTTCCACACCACCAGTATCCCTCATCACTGTGGGAACATGCAGCACTGAGATAAGATCCATTCAGGTAACTCTCATGCCAGCTAGAGTAATTTTAATTCTTTTCAGGCTTCAGCATCTATCCTCATAGTACTAACTTCAGTATCAAAGCCTATGCCTCCTATACACAGAAGTAAGCAACAGTGATTAATCTACACAACCCAATTTTAAATAAGGTGGCCAAGAAATCATCGCAAACTGTAATCCCCTAAACATCTTCTCTCTCCACTGCAAGTGGCCACACTTTACTTACAGACTGGGTAAGAAAAGTTTTCTCCAGTTTCTTTTGGTTTTTTTGTTTATTTTTTTACTTGATGAGAAAGTACCCTAAACTTCCTCAGAGACTTGCACCATGCCAAACTACCAAAGAGAACAAACCATGTTCTCTCATTTTTATTTTTTTTTCTAAAAATAAATCACAAGAATATTAATTGCTTCGTGTTGCAAGTGCCTGGAGCTAAGCTCCTATATATGCAACAACACTGTTTTCACATACCAATCCAGCAACATCTTTGATTTATTGATGCTTACATCTTTTTTACTATTGGGAGCCACAAAACAGAGAGTGATGATAGCCAAATTACTTGCCTTAATATAAAGGAAATACAATAGATTTTAGAAGGACACCAGAACCCTAACATTTACAAATATTTTCAATAACAAAAACACTCCATGAATTTCCAAATTCAGTTACTGCACATCTGTTATTAAAAAAGAAGAAACGATTTGATCTCCGATCTACAGCCTTAACATTGATGTTACACAACTTCACAAATAATCTTAAGTGTATTGATTTTCATTCAGAGTATTCTTTCTCCTCTTCTCATGTCCAGATTTTTTAAAGCAGACTAACAAGAGCAAAGCACCCCACCCAAAAAACCCAAACATTTTCTTTTTATATATAATTTTAACATTGCTTTGAGAGTAGGTATATATTTCAGTACCGACAATCAACATTTCCCAGGCTGTTGCGTTTCCTACATAACACCAAGCCAAAGTTTTATTAATTTGTCTGGAAACACATAGGGACTACTTGCTTTTTCTGGAAAGTGACAAAACTGATAACTCATTTTAAAAAGCTAAGAATTTTTCTAGGCTAGTTATAACATGGAATGAATAATCTTTAATAACATTATTTATTATGAGAATAAATACATAAAACAAATGCAATATATTAGCCACATTTCCTCATATACATTCAGAATATAACAAGAAGCTAATAGACATAATCATCAGAATAGCTGAACAAACCCATTTTTACTAAGCCAACAACACTGAAGGAAACCTGGAAAGTTTATGCACTAGTAGCAGGCAAAGAACATGTGATTTCAGTGTTTCCTTGATATCAATTTAAAGACAAACATACTGTAGTTATAAGCATGAATTGACAGAATTGTTTAGCTCCGTGCAGTAGCCGTTTGAGGTTGTTCTGACTGCAACTGCTTTCCAAGGTATTCCCTGAAATACAACAAAAAATTAGATTGAGAAACATTCTGGAGAGTGGGGAGTAGGATAACGGTGAAAAGTATGAAGTAGATAAAGTAGAAAAAGCTTTAAGTTTTGAATTATTCCTTCAAATAATGTCTGCTAACATTAGATGGTCAACTGCGGCTACTACAACAGTACTTAAAGCTTTAGGTATCCATCATCTATCTCTCTGAAAATAAGGTACAAACCCAACATCAACAAAACTGTCTGGAAAAACAAAAAGCCCAACGGTAATATTTAAAAATTCTGGCAACAGTTACAGAACACCATAGCTGTGTTTTTTAAAGGGTTATCCTCCCATAACCCAGTCACTTGAGCACAAGTAACACCAATGGACATACTGACAATTTAACCCATAAGCTAGCAAAACAGACACTGACAAAAGAACTGTATCATGAAGTTGGAAAAAAGGATATCCAAGTCAGGCCCACTGTATATCAACATTTTCTTTAAAGTTTTCCTCACCTGTATTAACAAGCTCTCTAATTCACTTTTTTTATACCTGTGCTATGACCAGAACAAACGGACCCCCCAAATGCCGAGCATTTGCCTTAAGCAACCATATCTAAATTCTACAGAAAAACACTGCACAATTCTTCCGAATGTTTCCATCTCTCACCGCCTCTTAGGAAAGCAGCTCCACACTTCGAAGAACCACAAAGAATGTGAAAGAGGTCTTGAGTAGTATCTGGGTTACTGCTCATTATGGAAAATAAACTTCAATAATTGTAACCACTGCATCAACTGAAAGGAGCAGCGAAACGTTAAGTGTTCCTTTTTCCACAATTTTTTTCACTACACAGGTATTTCAACCTACACAGGTTAAACTCTAGAAGCAGTTGAAAGAAATAATGTTCACAATGAAGCCTTTAAAAAAAAAAAAAAAACACCAAGAAACTAAGGAGCAGGCACTTAAAATTTCATTTAAAAAAAAAAAAGAAAAAAGATCAGTTCTTACTGCACATTTCAAAAACTAGCTTTCAGCTCAGTGCCCTGTTAAACAGATATTCCCTATTCATTACAATTCCTATTGCACAGTGAAGTTTAGGATGACAACTGTACCAACCCACAGCACTTTCCTCAGTTTTAAGTTAACATTATAGGAATTTTGCTATTCTAGATACTTCACTTCAAACTCTACTAGCAAAGAAAATAGCACATAATTTGTATGCTGAGCCATAACTTAGGATTGAGCACCTTCCTTCACAGCTTTATCAGGAGTTGCTGCAGGATCCCAGTACTATTTTAATGCCTGGGCTGCACTCATTAGGTATTACTCTTGATTATAACAGGTAGGTTACCACCCTCAAAGTAGAGGCTTTTGATTGAAAAGAAGGAAACGAGCTGCTTGTGATTTTGCAGGACTCAAAACTGAGGCACCAAACTCACACAACCTCCCTCTGCTCCCTCAGTACTTTTTTTGTTTCATGCCTATATGCATGTACTGGTCCTAGTACTTCTTGCCTGACATGCAGCCTTGAAAGCACTTGCTGTATACATGGCTCTGTTCACAGCATCATAGGCCTGTAAAATTACTTATCCTTAAAGCACACATAAACCATTTTGAATGTGAAATTCCCAGGCAATTACTTGGAAGCAGAAAAATCAATCAAGCAAACTATGTCTCACAGTACAGCTATTGCACAGCTTAAACTGGTTCAGATGCATGCTTGAGGCTTACTAAAACCCAACCATGGTGCAGTGTGTTCAGCAAAAATCTCTCAGAAGGCAGAGCAGTAGCATACTTTGTGGGTACTTAGTGCCTTAAAAGCCATATTCAACTTCTAAGGACATACAGTAGATAGCACAGTGCAAAATGTTTTATTTTGGTCATTTGTTTGCAGTTGCGAGGTTTAAGTCCGGGGACAAGGAAAAACTCTGATCTCATTTCCCCATACACAGTATCTGCAGTTACTGCTCTATGTTGCTATGCTGCAAATCCAGGTGAAAACCTCACACTGTCCCTTCCCCGTCACTTCTTTAGTCACCACCAAGGGCCACTGAAATGCAGGAAGTCTGTCCCTATGCTTTCTACAAGATGTTCAAATTCAAGTACAAAGTTGTAAAAAAAGAGCAAAATACTGTCCTGGCCCACAACAAATTTAGTCACCAGTTCTTTCCACTAGAAAGCTGCCTTTTATATATATACAATAATACAATGCCTGCTTAACGTAATACTTCAAAAGCCAGTAAAAAATAGTCAGTATTTTCTCAATACAAATACAGCAGCTGTCCAGTCAATATAAGAATCATTTTTCCTTTTAAATCATTTAAGGTGAAGAAAGGAAATTAAATTCTATGCACCAGTAGTTCAGTAATATTGAGCACATTTACATACAATGCTTTACTCCTTAACTGCTTTCCAGAAAGAGAAAGTTACCACATCCATTTTGCTCACACTAGAACTGAAAGGCCTTTATAAAGGTCAGTTTTAGCCCCCTTCCTACTTCCTTCTACATAAAACCATCCTTACTACAAAGCAGATGGAGCTGGTCTACACAGACCTGCATTTACAGTTATCTGCATTCAAACACTAAGCAAACTATTCAGTTTAAATTTACAGGAGCACAAAATATAACCTCTGTGCTGCAGAAAAGCATCAAAACATGCAAGTGCAGCAAATCCCTTCTGAGAGTAAATAAAAAATCCTCTATTTCTCAACTAAAGCTCAGATCAACAAAACTAGAAACACCAAATTTTCTCACTTCCTTGGTCTTTTAGAAGTCTGACTGTGAGGCTAAGTAATTTCCTTTTTGCAAATTAATCTTTTTTCATATTAGAATAAACAAGTGAGATTCCTTCCACATTACCAATTTCTCCTTTTTCTGGCCTGATTTTTAAACACACATTTTCTGCTGTACCCAAAGTGCTTTTTCCAAGAAGCAAAGGAAACTTGGAGGTGAATTTGTTGCATCTCAAATTCCATTTTCTTGCTTCATTTAGATTAATTCATTTTGTTGGTGCATGAGAGATGTGGACCCCCTTCAGGTTGATATACTTAAATGTCATGGTAATTGCAACAACATCATAGAATGGTTATGGATGGAAGGGACCTTAAAGATCATCAGGTTCCAACCTCCCTGCTATGAGCAGGAACACCTCACACTAGACTAGGTAGAAAGATTAAGAAGCATCAGAGATTGCGAAAGTGAAACAGATTGGAGGAGCCATGTTGTGAGGCAAGGGCAGAAGGAACAAGTGATAGTTCCCCTCTCCTCCTATCCTTCCCCTTCTAGAAGGAAAGAACTCACGGGACAGGGAGGAATGGAGGGAGGTCCCTCCTCAGAGAGGCAAGCAAAACCCTCACAGCACCCTGCCCCCCTCCAGGTGCCCTTGAAAAATAGGTTCCAATAGCTTTGGAACTTGAGGGCCAGGCAAATGAAGATGGAGAGGTAGATCCACCTAGTGAGTCACCTAGGGCTTGTCACTCACCCCCACGCCTTAGGACTTCTTCAACTAAGAAGACAAGGAGAGTAATTGTGGTGGGTGACTTCCTTCTGAGGGGAACAGCCCATTTGTTGACCAGATCGATGCTATAGGGAAGTCTTCTGCCTCTCTGGGGCTCAGATCAGAGATGATATAAGGAAACCTTTTCATGGTATCTAACCTAAACCTCCCCTGATTCAGCTTCCTGCCATTTCCCCAAGTCCTGTCCTTGGTCACAGGAGTATCATAGAATTATAGAATCCTAGGGGTTGGAAGGGACCTCAAAAGATCATCTAGTCCAATCCCCCCTGCCAGAGCAGGGTCACCTAGAGTACATCACACAGGAATGCATCCAG